GGCGTCAAGGAGCAAAGAAGCACAAGTGAAAGCAATAGTTGTAAAATGAGCAAATAAAGCGCTACCACCCAAAAGTCATCACCCTCCTTATCATCATCATCATCATCATCATCATCATCATCATCATCATCATCATCATCATCATCATCATCATCATATTTGAAAATAGCAGGGAATAAAAAAGGGTTGAGACTGGTAGAATTTTCAAAGTTTATATAAGTTCAACGTTTCACCCGGTAACGGGCTTCATCAGGAACATGATACAAAAAATAATGTACGACGTAAGATCTAATGACGACAAGCTATAGCAACAAAAGTGCGCGCATCAATGTCATAATGCCAAAAGGTGTGATGAAAATAAAACGGGAAGACCAGAGAAAATTGGAGGCTATGGCAAGAAGTGGCATGGATATAACATATTAAGTGCGTCAAATAATATATTATTATCATTAATATAAATGTAAAGGTAATTAATAGTAGTAGTATCATCATCATCATCATCATCATCAGCAGCAGCAGCAGCAGCAGCAGCAACAACAGCAGTAGTAGTAGTGGAAGTCACAGTAGTAGTAGTAGTAGTAGTAGTAGTAGTAGTAGTAGTAGTAGTAGTAGTAGTAGTAGTAGTAGTAGTAGTAGTAGTAGTAGTAGTAGTAGTAGTAGTAGTAGTAGTAGTAGTAGTAGTAGTAGTAGTAGTAGTAGTAGTAACAGTGGCAGTAGCAGTAGTAGTAGTAGTACATCATCATCATCATCATCATCATCATCATCATCATCATCATCATCATCATCATCATCACCAAATTGTAATAACAAGAACAAAGATAACGAAAGCAATGAGAAGAACAACAAAAGCAATCATAGCAACGTTTATACCAAACCGCCAACCCAACAAACAATTCAGCCAGTCCTCGCCGTGCCCGAGGGCGGAACAAGTAGAAAAGAAGACAGTATACATGTATTATGAACCTTCAAAAAACGTGTTCATGTTGGTAGTTGGTTCAAAGGTTTTGAACGTTAAGTTTGGCATTACAAAGCTGCTTGCCTCGTTCTGTTTCTGGTTTTTGTTTTATTTATTTTGTTGTTGTTTATTTTTAGGGGAAAAGGGGTGGGGGGTCGTTTTCATTTTAGTTTTTATTTTGTGTTACTCCGCAGGTCTGTCTGGTAAGGAAGAAGACATTGGGAGACGTCTCCGGTGAGCACCCAGGAACTATTCGGAGACGCACTCCCACACACAGATGCACTGCTTTGGGGGGTCAAACTGCGTATTGTTCGCTGCAGATGACACGCACACATAAATATAGTTACTAAAACTTGCAAATCAAAAATTTTCAAGAAAATTTCAAACCTAACTGCTAAATATCAAATTATTGGTTAAAAGAGGGGACATGGCCCCCTGTAACCCCCCAGTTTTTCACTTGGTCTAGAGGCACAAAGCATTTTGATTGGTGTATCTCTGTCGGAGACGTCTCCGAATATAAACTGCGGTCTGGTAACATTCAGCACAGCTGTACCTCAACAGTGTCAGCTCTAATCTTGCAATAGACGGACTTGTGAGAGCGGCCCCATTAATTCGAGACGGATTAAGTATTCAGACAGATTTTCTTTCGGTAAGAATGGAATGCGCCCACTTTAAGCTCCTGTTAATTAAATTATAAGTTTTAATCTCTTGACTACGCTGTAGTCGTAGCTCCTAGGTCTCTATAAACCCCACCCACGTTTGTTTTAGTAGAGCTTTTACAGCACTCGCACCTGCATAAAGTCATATGAGCGCCAGAAGATTAGAGGTGTTACAAGAGAGTAACAAGGATAAAAAAAGAAGAAGGGGAGATAATGACAATAGATGTTCGATAGGAAAGAAGAAGCTAACCACACCAGAGCACCCGCCAACCGCCCACAACCCCCACCCAGTGTGCCGTGAGCGTCGCTTCTTCGTCAGTGTAAAACTGTGTTTTGTTTTATTTATCTCAGCAACCGCTCAGTTTTAAATAAAGAGAATGCCTTCCCCTGATTGTCTATCGTTGTATTTAAATATTATTTTTATATGTGGCACCGTGAAAATCATCAGCACGTCAAAAAATGAAATAGCTGAAACCAACATTTTTTTTCCGCGTGTCAGGTAATTTTCATTGATTCTTTGTAAAAGCTCAACATCTTTTACATCTATTACAAAAACATTTATGTGTGGATCTTGCTGAAAATGGTGATTGAAACCGTGACAAAAATGTGAATT